GCAGAGAGAGGGCCTTCTCGGTAGTGGCACCTGCCCTGTGGAACGCCCTCCCACCAGATGTCCAAGAGAAAAACAACTACCTGACGTTTAGAAGACATCTGAAGGCAGCCCTTTTCAGGGAAGCTTTTAATGTGTGATATTTTAGTGTATTTTTGGTTTCTGTGGAAGCCACCCAGAGTGGCTGGGGAAACACAGTCAGATGGGTGGGGTACAAATAATAAATTATTATAATATTATTATGATGATGATCGGGTCGGATTCTTCAGCCGCGGTTCCTGCATTGCAAGGGGGTTGGACTGGATTACCCCCTGAAGTCCCTTACTGCTCTGTGATTATGCCAGACTGCTTTTTTTAGATTTCAGCTCGGCATTTAATACCATTCTACCACAACGTCTGATGTCCAAACTGGAAGATCTGGGGCTTCCGTTATCACTTTGTGGGTGGATATTGGACTTTTTCTCAGACCGCCCCCAGAGGGTTCGGTTGGGCCCTTATACCTCTAGTATGCTTAAGACTAACACAGGAACACCACAGGGATGCGTACTCAGTCTGCTCCTTTATATTCTCTACACGTACGATTGTGTCGCTGCTCACCCTAGTAATAGGGTTGTCAAATTTGCAGATGACACAACCGTGATTGGGCTCATCTCTGAAAGGGAGGGTGAAACGGATTATAGAGATGAGGTGGAGCGGCTGACAGAGTGGTGCAGAGCTAACAACTTGCTCATAAATACAAGGAAGACAAAGGAGCTTGTGGTGGACTTCAGGAGACAGAAGAGCAATGTCCAGCCACTTTTGATTGATGGGGTCTGTGTGGAGAGGGTAACAACGTTCAGATTTTTGGGCATTGAATTACAAGAGGATCTGTCCTGGAGTGTCAACACAAGGGGGCTTGTGAAGAAGGCGCAGCAGAGACTGTACTTTTTGAGAATTCTAAGGAAAAACCATCTTCCGCAGAAACTACTGCTTGCCTTCTATCACTGTGCCATTGAGAGCATGCTCACTTATGGCTTATGTGTGTGGTACGGAAGCTGTACTACCCAGGACAGGAGGGGGTTGTGCAGAGTTGTTAAGGCAGCAGAGAGCATTGTTGGCTGCCCACTTTCCACCTTAGAGCAGATATATGCCACAAGGTGCCATAGGAAGGCACTGGACATAGTAAAAGATCCATCGCATCCTGGTCACTGTCTCTTCGAGCTCCTGCCTTCGGGACGGAGATACAGGACGATGAAGACAAGAACGAGCCGTCTTAAGAACAGCTTCTTCTCCAGAGCGATCTCGGCCCTGAATGGGAAGCCTGGACTTTGAAAGTCATCTAATCTTCCTTGCTGTATTATACTGTATTGTTTTAATTAGTGTTTTTATAGTTGTTTTGATTTTGTGTGGAGTGCCCTACCTGGGTGGATGGAGCAGCCAAGTAATTTCGTTGTCCCCGAGAGGGGGCAATGACAATAAAGATATTATTATTATTATTATTATTATTATTATTATTATATGATTTTTACGCGGCTTGGGTGAGCTGGGTTCAGGTCCTTGCGCGCTCCGCCTCAGAGGTTTGGCAGTGCGAAGGGTGATGGAGAGCTCTGTTTTATAAAGTGCCTCCAGCCTCCTTGGCAGGCTTTGATTTTGGAAATTAAAAAGGGAGGGAGAAACCAAACATGCACTAGGGTGAGGTGTGTCCTGGGTGAGGCATCAGATCTTTGCTTCCCCAGTGGAATGTACCTCCCCCTCCTTTCAATTTCTATGAATTATGACTTCATAGGAATGCAAACACCATCGCCCCGAGATGGAACACCTGGGTTTTGCTTGCAGGAAAGTAATTAAAAAGTGGTCCTGGGTGGCTCGCACCTCGGGCCAACGTTTCTTGCTAAGTAGGGTTCCTTGAGCGGCGAGCCTCGTGGCCGGGACAGGCTGTTTTCACCCCTGATTTTTGGGGGGATGTACGTGAGTTGTACTTGAATAAGACCCTCGTTTATTCTGGTCCTAGATAGATCACGAGCGCATTTTTTGGGTGTGGGTGTGTGTTGTACTTAAATAGTTGTTTTTGTTGTTTAGTCGTTTAGTCGTGTCCGCCTCTTTGTGACCCCCTGGACCAGAGCACGCCAGGCACTTCTGTCTTCCACTGCCTCCCGCAGTTTGGTCAAACTCATGCTGGTAGCTTCCAGAACACTGTCCAACCATCTCGTCCTCCGTCGTCCCCTTCTCCTTGTGCCCTCCATCTTTCCCAACATCAGGGTCTTTTCCAGGGAGTCTTCTCTTCTCATGAGGTGGCCAAAGTCTTGGAGCCTCAGCTTCAGGATCTGTCCTTCCAGTGAGCACTCAGGGCTGATTTCCTTCAGAATGGATCGGTTGGCTCTTCCTGCAGTCCATGGGACTCTCAGGAGTCTCCTCCAGCACCAGAATTCAAAAGCGTCAATTCTTGGGCGATCAGCCTTCTTTACGGTCCAGCTCTCACTTCCATGTACTTAAATAAGAGCCTCGCTTATTCTGGTCCCAAAGAGATCATGAGCGCATTCGCATCCGTAGTTTTTGTGAAGGGTGCTGGGAATTGTAGTTCTCTGTGGGTATACACAACAGTTCCCAGGATTCTTTGGGGGCCATGAGTTTTGGATGGATGTTGCAAATGTCATGTCTGTGAGGTGCCAGATCACCTATTCCACCCTCACCCAGTGCCTTATGCATAGCTCAGCTGCTTAGAGCAGGGTGCAGACAATGCCATGGTTGCAGGTTCGATTCCTGTAAATGACAGCTGCGTATTCCTGCATTGCAGAGGGTTGGACCAGAAGGTCCTCAGGGACACTTACAACTCTACAATTTATTTATTTATTACTTTTATTATTTAATATGCACATACAACCAAACATATACTCACTTATTTTAAAAAAACCTGAATACAAAGAATACAAAAATAAATGCTACACTTATGTGACTTCCCTCCACCAGTGTACGTCAAAGGAGCTGGCCAACCAACAGCCAGCAAAGTTTGGCTCCCTCTCCCCTTTTTCTTGTAAATCAAGCGCAGAAAACAACCCTGATTTTTTATTTTATTTTTAAAAGGAAGTACTTGTTCACACAAGGCACAGTTAAACTGTGGAACTCCCTGCCTCAGGAAGCAGCAATGGCCAGCAACTTGGGATGGCTTTAAAAGAAGATTTAGAGCCACTCGTAGAGGGCAAGGCTATCCATGGCTATTAGCCGGAGGCAGCAATGACTACTTCTGGGTAGCATTTTCTGGAAGCCACAGGGACGGAGAGTTGCTCTTGTGTTCGGATTCTGCTTGCGGGTTCCCCACAAAGTGCTTGGCCATTTTCAGAGCAGGATGCCGGACTAGATGGACCCCTTTATGGCCTAATCCAGCAGCCTCTTCTACAGAATCCAAAACCATCGGAATGTGAGTACGGTGGAACCTTGAGTTGGGGACGTAATCCGTCCCTGAGGCACATCCAGAAGCGCCGCGTCTCTGCACGTGCGTGGCGAGATTTAGTGCTTTTGCGCATGCATGAGCAGCGAAACCTGGAGGCGGTTGGAGGATGGATGGCAGCTAAAGGATTGAGGTTGAATCCTGACAAGACAGAAGTACTGTTCTTGAGGGACAGGGGGCGGGCGGGTGTAAAGGACTCCCTGGTCCTGAATGGGGTAACTGTGCCCCTGAAGGGCCAGGTGCGCAGCCTGGGAGTCATTCTGGACTGACAGCTGTCCATGGAGGATCAGGCCAATTCTGTGTCCAGGGCAGCTGTTTACCAGCTCCATCTGGTGCGCAGGCTGAGACCCTCCCTACCACAGACTGTCTCGCCAGAGTGGTACATGCTGTGGTTATCTCCCGCTTGGACTACTGCAATGCGCTGTATGTGGGGCTACCTTTGAAGGTGACTCGGAAACTACAACTAATCCAGAATGCGGCAGCTAGACTGGTGACTGGGAGCGGCCGCCAAAACCACATAACACCGGTCTTGAAAGACCTACATTGGCTCCCAGTATGTTTCCAAGCACAATTCAAAGTGTTGGTGCTGACCTTTAAAGCCCTAAACAGCCTTGGCCCAGTATACCTGAAGGAACGTCTCCACCCTCATCATCCAGCCCAGACACTGAGGTCCAGCGCTGAGGGCCTTCAGGCTGTTCCCTCATTGTAAGAAGTGAGGTTACAGGGAACCAGGCAGAGGGCCTTCTCGGTGGTGGCACCCGCCCTGTGGAACGCCCTCCCATCAGATGTCAAAGAGATAAACAACTACCTGACATTTAGAAGACATCTGAAGGCAGCCCTGTTCAGGGAAGTTTTTAATGTGTGACATTTTAATGTATTTTTAATCTTTCTTGGAAGCCGCCCAGAGTGGCTGGGGAAACCCAGCCAGATGGGCGGGGTACAAATAATAAATTATTATTATTACCCTCCCTCGCAAGGTTGTTGTGAGGATTGGATGGGGAGGAGGAGAGCTTCGTGTGGCACCTTGAGGTGCTGAGAGGGAAGGTGCGATATGAATGTAATAAAGTCGGGGAAAGAAACTTTAATAGCCCTTTTAGATCCTTCCCCCCAAATATAATCAATGGGAGCAAACCAGAGCTTTGGGTTTAACAGATTCAAACCCAAATAAAGAATCAAATCGGAATAACACAGAGCAAGTCCGAAACATTATCAGGCTGTTTCCAAACGGCCTTGTGGTTGCTGCACACATACCTGAAGCACACAGGCACATCCACCAGGGGTTTCCGCTGAAGTAATGGAATGAGAGGCAGCGGTGGTGTAGTGGTTAGCGTCTGGGGTTCAAATCGCCACCAGGGTTCGAATCGCCACTCAGTCTGCATGCTCCCTGGGTGGCCTTGGGGTCCAGTCACTGCCTCTCAGCCTAAACTACCTCACAGGGTTGTTGTAGGGTTGCAATGGGGAGAATTATGTACAACGCCTTCAGTTTCTTTGAGAAAAAGTAGGGTATAAATGTCACCTTGATGATTATGATGATACAGTAATAGCAAGTGGGAGAAGAAAAACCCAGAGAAGCTTAGGGTTATCAGGCCATATCATTTTATTATAAAATATATTTCATATTGCCGTTGTAAAAATTACATTTCACATTTTTTTTTGTTTTGCTTACAATAAAAAATAATACTTGGAAGACAATCAAAAAAGAAAAGCTCCAATTAAGAGACAGTAATTCACCGATACGATATATTCCCCCCCCGTTAGGCTTGGTAGCATATCACCATCCAAACAGCAGCTATTATTAGCGGGTTACAAGATCGCACCCTTTCTCCTTTCCTGTCCAAACGCCTCGTAATAACTGGGGGGGTTGCCCCTCACCTTTCCCGCCCCGCCAGCAACCCAGCAAGCCCACAAAAACAGCCACGTTGCATTCCTTAGCTACCTAAGGAGATCTTGACAGACGGACAGTTTGGAGAGGACGGCTAGCATCTTGGAACTTCTGAACTGGCTGGTGTGTGGCTTGTGCGAGGGAGAAAGGGCAGAAAAAATGGGAGGTTCCCGGTTCTTTCTCTCCCCGCACCTTTGTTAAACTCTTTCGAAAGAGAAGAAGAAAATTGCTGGTGATCAGACTGGTCCCCTTTCTCATTCACCCACAGAATTGCTTGCACCAGTGTGTGTGTGTGTGTGTGTGTGTGTGTGTGTGTGTGTGTGTGTTTTAAGATTTCTACCAAATGCAAAAAGGAGTTTGTATCCAGGCGACTAGAAATTCAGGTAAACCCCACCTGGCTGAGCTAACAAAAATGTCTATGCATGCCCGACAGGTCACAACATCCACACATGCACATACCCACGCAGCCCTTTCCATGTGGGATTTCGCTGGTAGTTTATTTTGGCTGGGGTGGGTGGGAGTCTTGCGGCTTTCAGGCAACTCCCATCATCTCCAAAGGATCATGGGAGTTGTAGTCCAACAACATCCACAAAGGGTCCCCTGTTCCCATCCCCGATCGAAACCCAAGCGTTCCGTTTTTTCCTTTCCTGGTAGGAAGGGGTCATCAATGAGTTCTGGATCGAACCAGACATTGTGCAATGGTTCAGTTTGGGCCGGTTTTCTGCACACACTCTTCCTCTCTCTCTGTCTCACGTGGGCTCCCAGCCTCCCAACGAAAACTCAACGGTTCACAGTGCAAAAGTGTAAATTAGAAAACAGCTCCCATCTCTTCCTATTAGTGCCTGGTAGAAAAGATTCCTATATACATGTGTACAAAAGTCCTCTTAAGTGGGGCGGGAGATCCAGCCCAGAGTGGTATGTGCAGGTCTTTCCTGGGTATTCAACTCACGCGACTTCTGTCTCGCAAGGTCAGGATTTAGAAACGACAAACCTGGACCGTTCGCTCGGGGAAAGAGAGCGCCACTGGATGGACAAGAATACAGGTGGCATGGCATGCAACAGAGTAATTGTACAAGTGTGCTAACACAACAGGATTCCCCTCTGATGTGTGCCCCGTTATGGGATGAGAAAACCCTAGGATTTAGATTTAGGAGGGGGAGGGAGAGAAAATTTCTGTTGCACAAGAACAAATTCTGATTCCTGCAAAGCTCGAATCAATGGATCGAGGGACTTGGCACCCGCTTGAATACAACCCTATTTTTTATTTTTATTTTTTAAAAACAACCTCTAGAAGTAATGATATACCCACGTCCTTAAGGATGTAGCAAAGAAAAACAGCTCATAGAGTTCAGTTGCAGGAGCGGCCATTTGTTAGGAAGGCTGCAACTGAACTCTGTGGTCAGAGGAGAGACCCCCCAACCCCATTTTACAGAGAGGTGAAGGAAAAGAGAGACTTTTCACTATAGAAAGTTCTACGCAAGAAACTCGACCACGTTTCAAGGGAAACTGAGAGAATGGGGCGGGGGGAAAGAGAATGGGGAAGAGAAGAGATTTTTTAAAAATGAGATCTAAACATTTAGGCTATTTTTCCAAAACTGAGGAAAGGGGAGCTCAGAGCTGTAAAGAAAATCCAGAGAAACAGCTGTTTTGGCCAGAGGAAATAGCAAATATTTCGCTTTCGGTTCATTTCCTGCCAAGGGAAAAAACTGAAGTTACCCGCAATAGTTGCAAGGCTATCGTTGATCGAAGCCGTATTTTGTACTTTGGGGCCCTGAAATAATTTGCAGAACACCTCCCTGGGCATCATGCAGAGACACAAGATGAAGCTCACACCTTTCGAAGTAGTGATGGGATTCGTGTATTGCTGGTTTCTATTGAGTGCCAAGTCCCGAAGCTCCCACCGTGCCACAATACAAAAAGCAAGGCGCTAGTCCACAGCGTGGCAACACACAGGTATGCCAGCCATCGGAGTTACATGCGGGGCCACAAAGCGCTTGGTGGGGAGGACCAGAGTCTAGGAAGCAGAGCATCTTGAGTGGAACGAAGCAGGGAGGGGCTAGCAGGCTGCACCTTAAACCTGGCTCCTCAATGAGGGCTAGTCTCATGCATAGGCAGCCCTCAAAGTCAGTCTGCCAGGAGGAGGCGGTGGCAGAATGAGCCAGCCCTCCCTGTTCCCATCACTCGCCCCTAGTTTCTGGCCATCACATGCAGATGTAAAGTCCTCTATCCTAAGTGTAGAGACCACAAGACTGCGCCTTTTCGGTGCAGGGGAAGTCGTGCGCCCTAGGAAATAATGGCAAAGCGGAAATCTGTTGCATGGGTAGATTGTTCCCTCGAGTTTCCATTGCGCTCTGGGTTCCCTCCCACCCCATGACTTTGACAAACCAGTTTTTTAAAAAGAAAGAAAAAGTCTAGGCATACATAAAACCACAGACCTACGTTGTCCAGTCTAACTTGTACTGCACAGCTCAGAAAATAAAAAGAGAGGGTGGGGAACTCTTATCCCATGGAATGAAACAAACAAACAAAAAATACTGACAACAAATATATTCCTATGCAAGCTTAGCTTTTCCTTTTTCACTTTCCAAAATTTAAGTGCTATAGAATTTTGGAACGAGGCATTCGATGAACAAGGCCGGGGGTTGGAGCATACAGGAACCGGGACGCTGCTTTTAGCGGCGAGTGTAACTCATCGCCTCCCCACTGACGGAGTGCACATTCCTTTAATAGCTCGGTAACACAGGAAATATTCCCCAACCCCGGGGTTTTTGCAGCTTAGCAAGAGAAACCCAGATACCACATGCTTACCCCAAAGTCCTTTTTTTCCCTTTCCTTTTTCCTTTACAAATTATTTCTCTGTTTCCGCCTCCTCCTTAATCACCTTTTAACAAAACAAAACAAAAACCAGAAGCGAAAAATAAAAGAGAGATTCCCAAGGACCCAGACTTCTGCCAGTGAAGAAACTGGTCTCCAAATCTCAAGACAAATTGTTTCTGATGGGGAAGAGAGGTCGGGAGGCTCCTTCAGGAACAGAAACAGACCATTTTGGAAATCTGGTAGATTTTGGTGGACCTCAGAAAGGTCAAATGCAGCGAGACAGCTACAGATCGATATTTTTGAAGCAGGATGGATGAGATTTCCAAAGAAACGTCTCTGATGTCCCAGATTATTTGTCCCCGAAATTTAAACACAGCTGTCAAAAATACAACGTTCCCTCATCATAATTCATGACGGTTTCTTTTTTCAAGAAACGCACACTGCTTTGAAGAAATCGTTTTGTTAGGTCTCTAGACCATAATAAAGATTGATTTGATTTGATGAAATCGAAAGAACACAAATATCCCAAAATCTCACATTTGGAAATATAAAAATGCAGAAATCTGGGCTCAAGCTTTGGGCGATCCGATAATCCCTGATTCTCTGGATATTCAAAGCGCTCAAATAAGACCCACGTTTTGGCGTCGACCAGCTTTAGCACTGACCAGGAGTCTGGGCTTAGGGAAATAAAAAATCCGACATACTGTGTATAGCAGCCTCCCTCAACTTTCGAGTCTTCCAGATGTATTGGACCAGATCTGCCAACCATCCCTAGCCGGCACAGTTCTGGTCCAAAAGATCAGGAGATTGTGGGAGGCTGGTGTGTATGATGCACAAAATGACAACGAAGAAAAACACAAAATTTTCAACAAGCACCGATAATATACATAACTCCTTTTTAAAACAAAAACAAAACACTCTCCCACCCCAAGCCTTAGAAAAGTACCCTTAAAAGTAAAGCAGGGCTAGCTTTTATTTTCTGTAAAGAAATCCTCGTTCTCAGAGTGTTCATTGTTCATTCAGTTGCTCTTTTCACAAGGAGAGATCTGTGTCTTTAGTTTATGGCTCATGATTATCAAAACGCAGGTGATTGGGACAGGGAAAAACCACGTAAGCAATCCAAAAAAGCTGTCCGGGCAACGGGTTTTTGTGGAGGGAGGGAAGCGCTTCCCCAAGGAAGGGAAACCACGATTCGTTAACAGGCGCCTCTCTGTCGTGACTGGCAGCCCCAAAGTTTGGTGGCCTCAATGAGGGCTCCCTCCTTGTGCAGTGCTGCACCCACAACCGAGAGAGAAGCAGATGGGGTCATGTGACAAATTGTGGGTGGGGTGGCCCACCTCTCCCCCGCCCGGGTTTCTGGGGTCTAAATGGAAACCGCTGGAAACGTGATGTGTTAAAGCAAGTTGAAAATCCGATTTTTTAAAAAGTACTACCTAAACTTTCATATATTTTTTTTCCCAACCTGGGGGTGCAGGGAAACAGGGCTTCAACATTCCTGGAGTTTTTAAATCTCCTGTCTCAAGACATCCCTGGGCTACTTTTATCGTTCCCCAGCGCGGAGATCTAGCTCTCTGCGTTGATTGTCATTTGGCAACTGACCGCTGGCAGCACTAGGCTAAAAAGAGGGTTTTCCCCAAAATGTTTTGCCTTTCCACACAACTCCACAGCGTGAGCCAAGCGCATTCTCCCAGCATGCTCTGCAAAATGGCGCAGTTTGGGTGCATTGGCGACGAACGGTCTGGATTGCATGCGCAATGGGTCTGACCTTGAAGAGGAAGGAAGGAAGCAAATTCCGCGACCGGACGCCCTGCCAGTGTTTCGGGCTACAACTCCCATCAGCCCCAGCCAGCCCAAAACATTGGCAGGGAGGCCACGTTGGGGAAGGCCACAATAATGGCGTTTATGCCCTGGCACCCATGACTTTTGCTCGCTCCAGTTCGGACCAGAGCACCCACGAAACCACCCAATGGTCTTGATTGGCAAGCCCATCATTAAGCAAAAATATGATTTCCTCCCTCAGGTAATGCCGGGTCTGGCCTTTGAGGCAGGGGGCAACTGAAGCCACACGAGAAATACTCAGGTGCCCCAGGGCTGTTTTGCACATTAAATTTTAGGTGTAAAATGGGGGAATGAAAGCATAAAGCAAAGCAATATAGCCAGGTTCCTTCCACTTCGGTTTTAGAAAACGAAACAAGCATTCACTGGATTGTAGCTTGATGCAATGATTGTTCTTTTGACAGCGTAATGTTTAAAAGGAAGGGGGAAAACCCAGGGCTTGGGTGCAAGCGTGTAATTCCTCCCGGGCACCAGAAGGGGGAGACAGCACGCTGGCGGAGTCCACAGGAAGTCAGCCACGCCCCTTCCTCCTTCAGCTGATGGACCCAGCACCCTCCCGTTTTGGGTTTAGATAAGGGATGCTCCTATGCTTTCCATATTGCAACCACCGACCCAAACACTCAGCCAACCACGTTTGGAGGGAACAGTTCAGGAAAAATGGTTCTTTGGTCCCTGGGCACACCGAGAAACAAGTCTGTTGAGCTACACCAAGCCAAAAACTCTCTTTCCTCCCCGCTTCACACCTCTTATTTACAAATAGAAAGGGAGGCGTTGTGTTTGTGTGTGTGTGTTTAAAAAGGGGAGGGAATAATGTGTTTAAAAAACGAACATTCCCACAAAACACTGAAAATTAGGAAGGAAAAAAACCTGCCGGACGTAGAATATACGGAGCCCAGGATGGGCTCTCGAGATCTCCGCTGAAGCACGGGGAGAGAGGCTTCCAAGGGCGCGGACGCTGCAAAAACGCAGAGGTCTGGCCCCTTGGCGCTTGGCTGGCAGCGAGAGAGAGAGAATTGCTCCCTCCACCTTGGGAAACTTGCATGCGCTCAGTCCAGGAATCGCTGGCAGGCCTTTTTCCACCGGCAGGCGGTGCACCACTGGTCGCGGTGCTCGATGCCATAGACCTTACGGCACTTCTTGGCTTCGCCGCGGACTTTCCTGCGGGAGAGAGAAAGGCAGGGGACAGGCGTTGAAGGAGCCGTAGGGTTGGATCGCCAACATTTAGAGAACGTCCCAGAGTTATCCTCCCCTGAACACGGCCGTGAAAACAGGGGGACAGAGGCGGACAGCAGCCTTTGTTGCAGTCCTGGGAGGGGGGTCTTCTAGGCGTGTTTGGAACTACACCCACTCTGGGAACCACTGGGCCGAACGAAAAGGAAGTCAAGAAGACCTTGTCCAAAATAAATGTTGCTGAGTGTTTCTGATGAAGGCAGCCCTGTTTAGGGAGGTTTTTAATGTTTGGAGTTTTATTCTGTTTTGGGGGTTCTGTCGGGAGCCGCCCAGAGTGAGGAAACCCAGCCAGATGGATGAGGTATAAATAATAATAAAAATTATTATTATCATCATCATCATGTCAATTTGACCCGTGGACTGCCATCTGTCCAGATTTTAATTTGCTCTGAACTAATTTTAAGATGTATTTTAATTAATTGATTGCCTGTTTTTATGTTCTTATGTTATTTGTATGCTGTGTTAGTTTAATGATGTTAGCCGCCCTGAGCCCGGCTCCAGCAGAGGAGGGTGGGGTACAAATAATTGTTATTATTATTATTGTTGTGTGTGTGTGTGTGTGTGTGTGTGTGTATAGATAGATAGATAGATAGATAGATAGATGATAGATAGATACACACACACACATATCTATATCTATATCTATATCTATATCTATATCATCTATATCTATATCTATATCTATATCTATATCTATAGTGTATATATATATATATAGTCTTGTGTATATATATATAATCTTGGCAGCACAAATAGTAATCGCAACTCAGTCAGAAACTGCCCAAAATCTTACACCAGACATTTGGTACCGCTGACTCTGGAATATAGCTATAATACAGGAAAATCAAAGAATCGTAGAATTGAAGAGTTGGAAGGGACCCTGAGGATCATCTAGTCCAAATTCCTGCAACGCAGTAATATACAGCTGTCCCATATGGGGATCGAACCTGTAACCTTGGCATTATCAGCACCACGCTCTATCCAACTGAGCTATCCAGGCAGACCTAAATCACACATAATTTGTGATTTCTACAAGGACTAGAACCTCCAGGCACTTTTGATAGGATTTGGCATTCTGTTATGACATTCATTCATTCATTTGTTCGTTGCTTTATTTCCTCCATCTCCAGATCTCAGGGCAGTCCAGAACCATCATTTTCAAGTCTGCCACAAGCCCGGCAAATGCAGAACAATACTTGATGATCTGGGCTTGGTTATTTTAATTCATGTGCAGCTTACCCATTCTAGGTGTCTATTTTACAATTCCTTTTTTCCCCATCTTTTAATTTTTGCCTGTTGCTGTAATTGTTGTTTTATATGCATTGTAAAATAAATTAAGAATAAAAAGCTATTAGGAAGTTTGTAATGTTTGACATTTTATTATGTTTTTATATGTGTTGGAAGCTGCCCAGAGTGGCCAGGGGAACACAGCCAGATGGGTGGATGATGACTATTATTATTATTATTATTATTATTATTATTATTACAGTCATACCTTGGGTTATAGATGCTTCAGGTTCCGTTTTTCGGGTTACGGAACCGCCGAAACCCAGAAGTACCGGAACGGGTTACTTCCGGGTTTCAGCGGTCACACATGCGCAGAAACGCTAAATCGCACTTTGCGCATGCGCAGAAGCGGTGAATCGCAACCCATGTGTGCGCAGACGCACCACTGCAGGTTGCGAATCCTGCGGGTTGTGAATGTGCATTCCGCACGGATCACGTTCGCAATCCGAGTGTTCACTGTATTACAGTCATACCTCAGGTTGAAGTTGCTTCGAGCGCTTCCGGGTTTCGCCGCTCACGCATGCGCAGACGGTTAAAGTGACATCACGCGCATGCGTGGAAGCGGCGAATCACAACTCATGCATGCGCAGACACGGGTTGCATTTGCTTCTAGATGCGAACGGGGCTCCGGAACGGATCCCGTTTGTATCCAGAGGTACCGCTGTATTATTCTTATTCTTATTCTTATTCTTATATTATTATTTGCCGGCCTTACCTTGAGCTGCTGGGCGCCCGCAGAGGAGACGTGACAATCAGGTGGGATTTCAAGACAGGTGGTGGAGGAGGAGGAGGCAGCGGCGGCGGAGGCTGCTGCTCGCTGAAACTCAGGGACCGGCTTCGCACCTGCAAACAAGAAACATACATGCTTTATGACACACCCAAGAGCAAGTCTCTCCAGGACCCCAGTTCCCCAAGGCGCTGGAATCAGCCCTCTGTGCCACTCGAGATTCCTGCAGCCACAGAAGTCAGGACTAGAGATTGAAAGGTGTCAGGGAACTGCCATCGGAACAGGGGCGCGAAACAGAGGGGCAGTCGTGTTACGGGGAGCCTCCGAAAATCTTGCAAAGGAGTTCTTATTTTGCTGATGAGGAATGCCCCACCTCCAGTGGGGAAGAGGTGAAAGGACCTGAGGATGCTGGTGGGAGCCTCAGCACCGCTTCTGGAGGGAAGCATGCCCCTTCCGTCGCCCACCCTGCACAGAGGTCTAAAACACAAAGAGGAAGGAATAGGCTGGGAGTAACGAGACTTTTATGCTGGGGGAGATCCAGGAAATAGGCACTCCCGGATTCTGCCAGCGATTGAGGCAGACATGAACTTGTGGCTCTGCACTGTAAAGAAAGGTAAAGGGACCCCTGACCATTAGGTCCAGTCGTGGCCAACTCTGGGGTTGCGGCGCTCATCTCGCTTTACTGGCCAAGGGAGCTGGCATACAGCTTCCGGGTCATGTGGCCAGCCACTTCTGGAGAACCAGAGCAGCGCACGGAAATGCCATTTACCTTTCCGCCGGAGTGGTACCTATTTATCTACTTGCACTTTGATGTGCATTCGAACTGCTAGGTTGGCAGGAGCAGGGACCGAGCAACGGGAGCTCACCCCGTTGTGGGGATTCGAACCACAGACCTTCTGATCGGCAAGTCCTAGGCTCTGTGGTTTAACCCACAGCGCCACCCGCATCTGCACTGTAAATAGTTTGCACCGAAATAAAACCTGTAAAAGACAGGTCTGAGTCCTGCCTGGTTACTCACGAGCAACCACCATTGCCATCTGACAAAAGGCCTGGTAAAAACCCAGAAAAAATGGGGGGAAACCAGGGTTTTTTTCCTTTTTCCCCCCAAAGCTGTTTTTTTGAGTCCATGAGAAAAATGACAAAGAGGAAGAAATGGAAAATGACAGCAGTAGTTCAGAAAATGAGACAGAATAAACTGCATGTGTATGTTGTGTCTTCTGTCTCTTCTTTTAAAAAAAGCACTACTCAAAGAGTAGAACTTCTATGGAATTTAAATATTGAGGTGGACCTTAACTTTATTTGCTGTTGGTGCTAAGGGGCAAATCTGATTATTTTTACGTTGATGGTTTCTTGCTTTTTTCGTTGCTTTTGAGGGCAAGGGGGTGGTTACGTGTTTTATTGCAAGCATAATATTTTTATATACACTGTGTTTCACACAATTTGTGAAACTACTCCACACTAAACCTTTTTTCAATCTTTCCAAAATTCGTATTTTTCCCCGGATAAAACAAGGGGGGGGGGAACAATTTTTTCTCATGGCTTCAAAATTTCCAGAAATTTTACATCTCTAGTCAGGACTCACCGGCGAGAGGGTGGGGATGGTAGATGTCGCGGCAGCCCAGCTGATACTGGTGAATATGTGCGGGGATACTGGGATCTGGATGGACGGCAGAGCCTGAGAGAGAGAAAAAAAGGGAGGTGTGAAAGGGTTCACTGCATTTCCATTTCCGCTGCCTATTTTTCAAAATGCATTTATGGGGTGGCAGGAGAGAGAAAGAGAGAGGTCTGTAGTTTAACTGCAAGCTGCATGAAGGAGGACTTTGTATTCAAAGCATGCATCAACGTAGCATGCCTCGTAGGTGGCATAAAGGTAAAAGGTAAAGGGACCCCTGACCGTTAGGTCCAGTCGTGGACGACTCTGAGGTTGCGGCGCTCATCTCGCTTTATTGGCCGAGGGAGCCGGCGTATAGCTTCCGGGTCACGTGGCAGCATGACTAAGCCACTTCTGGCGAACCACAGCAGCACACGGAAACACAGTTTACCTTCCCGCCAGAGCGGTACCTACTTATCTACTTGCACTGCATGCTTTCGAACTGCTGGGTTGGCAGGAGCAGGGACCGAGCAATGGGAGCTCACCCCGCCGCGGGGATTCGAACCACCAACCTTCTGATCAGCAAGCCCTAGGCTCTGTGGTTTAACCCACAGCGCCACCTGCGTCCCTTGCAGGTGGCATAATGGTAAAGCTAAAGGGACCCCTGACCGTTAGGTCCAGTCGTGGCCGACTCTGGAGTTGTGGTGCTCATCTTGCTCTACTGGCCGAGGGAGCCGGCGTACAGCTTCCAGGTCATGTGGCCAGCATGACTAAGCCGCTTCTGGCGAACCAGAGCAGCGCACGGAAACGAAGTTTACCTTCCCGCCGGAGTGGTACCTATTTATCTACTTGCACTGGCATGCTTTCGACGTGCTTTTGAACTGCTAGGTTGGCAGGAGCAGGGACCAAGCAACGGGAGCTCACCCCATTGCGTGGATTCGAACAGCTGATCTTCTGATCAGCAAGTCCTAGGCTCTATGGTTTAACCCACAGCGCCACCTGCGTCCCTTGTAGGTGGCATACTAGCTGGTAAAAGCCACCTGAGTGTCTGGGCACAAAGGGGGATCCGGGAGCAGCCCCAAACTCTGACCCTGTTGCTTCGGGAACCAGGCAGAGGGCCTTCTCAGTGGTGGCACCCGCCCTGTGGAACGCCCTCCCATCAGATGTCAAAGAAATAAACAACTATATGATGTTTAAAGGTAAAGGTAAAGGTACCCCTGCCCGTGCGGGACAGTCATGTCCGACTCTAGGGTTGTGCGCCCATCTCACTTAAGAGGCCGGGGGCCAGCGCTGTCCGGAGACACTTCCAGGTCACATGGCCAGCGTGACGAAGCTACTCTGGCGAGCCGGCACCAGCGTAGCACACGGAAACGCCATTTACCTTCCCACTATAAAACGGTACCTATTTATAGCGTTGCACTTAGGGGTGCTTTCGAACTGCTAGGTTGGCAGGCGCTGGAACCGAACAACGGAAGTGCACCCCGCCGCGGGGATTCGAACCGCCGACCATGCGATCGGCAAGTCCTAGGCACTGAGGTTTTACCCACAGCGCCACCCGCGTCCCAACTGACGTTTAGAAGACATCTGAAGGCAGCCCTGTTTAGGGAAGCTTTTGACAACTGATGTTTTAATGTATTTTTAACCTTCTGTTGGAAACCACCCAGAGTGGCTGCGGTAGAAATCATTAATAATAATAATAATAATAATAATAATAATAATAATAATAATAAATATTATTAGGTACGGCTGGCCGGGCCCTACCTGATACGCATGGTCGGCTTGGATGTGCCAGAAGGAGCTAGGAGCCGACTGGCTGAGGGCGCTGCTGGACAGGTGATGCTCTGGCGGGACTGCTTGGTCCAGGACGAGAGCTTCTGGCTGTGATGGAGTCTGCTGGATGGTGATGGGAGAAGAAGCCCCCACAGAGGTGGGGGTGGGGCTGGAGACGGCCGCTGCGGGTTCAGGGGGCGCCTCGTCCTTCACTTGCATTTCCGTGTAGTAAAAATCCTCTTCCCTCTTCCGCTGGTCAGAATTGGCGCCGTCTCTGCAGCGATGGGAAAAGAGAGATGAAGCAATGCCCGGGGAACTGTTTACCTTCCCACCGGAGCGGTACCTATTTATCTACTTGCACTTTGACGTGCTTTCGAACTGCTAGGTTGGCAGGAGCAGGGACCGAGCAACAGGAGATCACCCCATCGCGGGGATTTGAACCGCCGACCTTCTGATCGGCAAGTCCTAGGCTCAGTGGTTTAACGCACAGTGCCACCCGCGTCCCAAATTCATCTAGCCCAGGCACGATCTACTCCCAGCATAAAATGACTGGCAGTGATCTACCGCACAACATGACTCAATTAAGAGGACAAAGCTTCTTTTCAGTAACGTCCCCCCATTTCATGGACAGAACAAGGACCGCGGGGGACAAAGAATTCCAGCACATTTCTTTCTCCAGCCGGCAATCAGAAGGAGACCTGTCAATTGTGATCGACCTGTTGGACATTGCTGATCTAGCCCAACCAGCCACAATGAAAGGAATTTCAACAGCATGTCACTTCAATCTGGGTGAACGCCGTTCGGCCGGGGTCTTGGGGCCTTACTCACCCCAAGTGCTGGGTCTTCACGTGCCTCTTGATCCCCACGATGGAGCGAAGGACTTTCCCGCAGCTGGGCCACAGGCAGGTGTACATCACCTTCACAGAGTTCTAGGAGAGAGACACACACACCTGGTTCAGGTCTGCAGACAAAACCAAGCAAATAAAACACCCCTCACTTGGGGACCCCTCACTTTCCTCCTCCTCCCCTTCCACTTGGACGGGACGAGGCAGGGAGGAGCTTGGGCACAAATCCCAAACGTGTCCCCTTCTCAGCCTCTCCACCTGGCCTAGGAAATCTCCACCGATTTCCCTGCCCCACATCATTCTGGAATGCTTTCGACTGGCTGGAATGGGACCTAGAACTTCAATGGTGTCTCTCGTTTGCACGGAAGGAGGGCAGAGAAGAGTCAAATCGAAACCACTGCACAATGGCAATATTGACATGTGTTATGCCACCCAGCCTTCCGTCTGTCATGTGGCCCTTGGAAGGCTGCCGAGGACTGAATCCGGCCCTCGAGGTGAAAAGGGTCACAACCCCAAGATCTTGGAGATGAGTTCCCTCGGCGAGACCAGGAGCTTCTATTTTCCTGGTGCAATTGCACCTTAGGAAACTAGAACTGGCATGAGACTGCAGGAATGCTGGTTTGAGGCTCTACACATCCAGAACAGGGAGCAATCCTTCCTCTGCATCTTCACCGCCCATTATTAAACACCTTTTGCTTAATAAACTACAGTGGTACCTCTGGTTGCAAACAGGATCCGTTCCGGAAGCCCGTTCGCAACCTGAAAAGAACGCAACCCGCGTCTGTGCGCGCGCGGGTCACGATTCACCGCTTCTGTGCATGCATGTGACATCATTTTGCACGTCTGCGCACGCGCGAGTGGCAAAACCCGGAAGTAACCCGGTACTTCCGGGTCGCCGCGGGACGCAACCTGAAAACGCTCAACCTGAAGCAAACGTAACATGAGGTATGACTGTATCTTTGTTCGCTTTCCATATTTCTCTCTCTGCGTCTTCTCCATAACGGTTTGGTTTTTGTGAATTTAGAAGCAGCCGCGAGCCCTGACTTCTTTCTTCCCTAGCACAGTCAAAGCCTCCCAAATCATTTCACACGAGGTTCCCTCTTTAAGAGGCTACCACACGTGGTGGCAACGTAAAAAGGCCTGGGAAAAGACATATAAAGATTTGAAGAAAATGTGATATTGAGATGTACAGGACTTGGTTTGTTTGAGCAAAAGACTCAGTTTTGAAATGCGAAATTGGATGCCAGGCCAAGACCAGCCAACCCCTATGGACGGAAGAAGCCTCGGCCAAAGAAGATAAAGAAGACTGGCAAAATAAATGACTGAACTATCCAGGACAGTGGACGCTCGGGTTGTGAACGTGATCCGTGCAGGATGCATGTTCGCAACCCGCGTCTGCGCACGTGCGGGTTGCGATTTGGCGCTTCTGCACATGCACAAAGCGCGATTTAGTGCTTCTGCACATGCACAACCGCCGAAACCCGGACGTGACCTGTTCCGGTACTTCTGGGTTTCGGCAGGTCCGTAACCCAAAAAAACGCAACCTGAAGCGGCTGTAACCTGAGGTATGACTGTATTATAAAAAAGGGCAACCGATCAATGCATATTTTTAAAGCTTTGTGTATAGATTCTTACAATTTTAAAAGTCACTTGTAATAAAATGAAGGAGGTTTTAAAATTGGGTTGTTAAGTATATAAGGTTTTATGGACATGCATGAACAAGTATATTATAATAAAGCCAAGAGAGGGAGTGGAGCGAAGTCGACCAAAAAAATTATGGTTTAATCTGGTTTGTTTGTTTTATTCCGTTTTGTCATTTTTGGAAAATAAAAAAAAAGTTATAGAAGAAGAAGAAGAAGAAAAAGAAGAAGAAGAAGAAGAAGAAGAAGAAGAAGAAGAAGAAGAAGAAGAAAAAGAAACAGCCCCGGGACTAAGTCTATAGTCAGGCTTTCGTATATGTGTCTTGCTCATTAATAGGTATTCTTTGCTTATCTGAAAAAATTCAGTAAAAAAACCAAATTCTTACAAAAGGGACATCCACATGAAAAACAGGCCTGTTTTTCTCATCATTAGCCAAGTTAATTATCAGCCAACTGCTGAGTAAGAACAGAGGAGTCTGCTGATCAGGCCAATGACCCATCTAGACCAGCATAAAGCCATCATAAAAAGGTAAAGGGACCCCTGACCGTTAGGTCCGGTCATGGCAGACTCTGGGGTTGCGGCGCTCATCTCACTTTACTGGCCGAGGGAGCTTCCGGGTACAGCTTCCGGGTCATGTGACCAGCAGGACTAAGCCGCTTCTGGTGAACCAGAGCAGTGCACGGAAACGCCGTTTACCTTCCCGCCGGAGCAGTACCTATTGATCTACTTGCACTTTGACGTGCTTTGGAACGGCTAGGTGGGCAGGAGCAGGGACCGAGCAATGGGAGCTCACCCATCACGGGGATTCGAACCGCTGACCTTCTGATTGGCAAGCCCTAGGCTCTGTGGTTTAACCCACAGTGCCACCCGCGTCCCTAAAGCCATCATAGTCAGTGGCAATTACAGCCTCCTGTGGGAGGGAGTTCCACAGGTTAACGGTGGGTTAATGAAAGTCGTAAAAAAATCAGGCAGCGAAGAATCCGCGTTACGTGGGGAGATTCTCCAGCCACTGCCCCTTCCCACTTCTGCGCCCCCTACCTTTCTCTTCCGGGGAGCAGGCTCATCAAAGATGAAGGGGTCCAAGTCCGTCTCAAAGCCGTCGTCCGGCCGGGGAGAACTGAAGGCTTCGCTCGAGTACTTGGGGCTGGCCTCGGAGTGGGGAGGAGATGGGGTTGACATACAGCTCCAGTGCCCACTGGTGCTGCTGCTGCCCCCGTCCGACATGTCTCCGCTTTCCTTCCACACATCGCCCACTGCTTGGGATGCTGGGGAACAGAGGACGAGAGAGGGTTGGACTAGATGACCCTCGGGAACCCCTTCCAATCCCACGGCTCTTTTGAGAAGCAAGACGCGGATTGCTTTCGCACTGGGCTCACAGTTATGTCCAGTTCCAGCCCCCGTCAACGTCTCTTCTGAATTGCTCTTTTTTCTCCCAGATACTAGGCCAGGCTTCCTCAACCTCGGCCCTCCAGATGTTTTGGGACTACAACTCCCATGATCCCTAGCTAGCAGGACCAGTGGTCAGGGATGATGGGAATTGTGGTCCAAAACATCTGGAGAGCCTGTACTAAGCTGTGGCTCAGCAGCAGGGACTCCGTCCTGCATTCAAAGGGTCCCAGATTCAAATCTCACCCTCTCCAGATAGCCAATCAATCCATCCATCTATCAACCTCGCTGTTTTGTTTTTTTATTTATACTTTTCAAATTTATACATTTCATTAGTTTTACAATCAAATTAACATTTCAAAACTTCACTTCCTTCCCCCCTCTTTCTGCGGTTCCTTAATTTTTATATATATATATATCCAAATTCATTCAACTTGCTCACTTAAATTATCTACTGTAAATATAGACTCTTATAAAACTGCGGGTTATTACAATGATCCTGCTAATGTTTTTATCTGTTTACAATCTATCTGTAATTTTTTTTCTTTTGCTTTTTAATTATCCATTACTGAAAAGCATATGCACACCTAGCGGAAAAAAGGAAAAGTAGCTTTACAATTTTGTGATTCCACCGGAATATTGTGGGTTATGGGGTAGGGATACGTCAGAGGTCTTGCTGAAAAGGCCTTCTTCAGGCTGGTGTCTTCCAGATGTTTCAGACAGCAATTTAACAAACGTAAGATGAGTGTGCTGGATCAGGCCCATGGCAAATCTGGTCCAGCTTCCCCACCTCTCACAGTGACCAACCAGATGCCCATTATGGGAAACCCGAAAGCAGGATTCGAATACAGGAGCGCTGTCCCTTCCTGCGGTTTCCAGCAACTGATATACGAATGACTTAAGTCCCGTATTTTTCACTCTATAAGATGCACAAGACCACAAGACGCACCTAGCTTTTGGAAGAGGAAAACAAGAAAAAAAATATTCTGAATCTCAGAAGCCAGAACAGCAAGAGGGATCGCTGCGCAGTGAAAGCAGCAATCCCTCTTGCTGTTCTGGCTTCTGGGATAGCTGCGCAGCCTGCATTCGCTCCATAAGACGCACACACATTTCCCCTTACTTTTTAGGAGGGAAAAAGTGAGTCTTATACAGCAAAAAATACAGTAAATTTATTTCCATAGGCCTAAGCTGGGTATGACATTGCTGGACAAAGCCCAACCAACTCAAAAGGGATAACCTTTGAGCAGGCGTACACAGGATCGCACCTGCGAAATTTGCATCTGGAGAGGAGGACAAGAGAATAAATCCCACACGCTCTGAGTTTCCACAACTGCGCTGCCAACTCAAGTCGATCGATGGCCTTTCCCACACTGGCAGAGTCCTATTTTTAACTTGATTCCTGGGCAGCACCTCTAAATAGAGACGCCGGCTCCTCTGGGTGCCCCAGGACCCGTCGCTCCCATAATAGGCCCGAGCATCCGACTGGAAACGGCGGCCGGGAGTCGGGTTACGTGCTCCGTGCCTCTCTCTAGGAATGCAGACACCGTCCCAAATGTGGCCAGCTGCCCTTCCAAGCAGCTGTCCGACGGCAGGGCCGGGCGGAGGGCACAGAGAGGGGAGCAGACGGTCACAAACAGCAACCCTCAAGGGACTGGGTTGGCGGTTTCCTCGGCCAGCAAAGTTCAGCCACCATCTCCTTGCTGGTTTGAGGAGGCGGCTTGACCAGACGGTCGCAGGGGGGGCGCAGGGGTCCCGTAAGACCTCGGAGGGAGATGGGGCAGCTGTTGGAGAGGTGAAATCGAGTGCCTTCTCGCTCAGGGCCTGCTTGCGGAATAGATGAGCCACTGTCCTGATCCAGGACAGTGTGGCTCAGTGGTTAGAGCAGTGGGGAACAAAAAATCAGTCTTTAACATCAGCAGTCAGGAGCGCTTCAGCCCTGTTTTTGAGTTTCTGCCCTGTTTTTGAGTTTGTTTGAAACTTAAACAGCTTATCTCGTATTCCTTTGTAAGTTTTTCTTAAAACCCTTTTTGTAAGCGTTTCAGCCCTGCTCTTGAGTTTGCTGGAAATCACTGAAAACCATGTAAGGTTTATAATGTTCTCCTAAATAGGGCTATGTTTTAAACTTGTCATTGAGGTTTTTATGCCTTTTTTTGTAAACTCAAGGAAGCGTCTCAGCCCTGCTCTTGAGTTTGTTTGATATCACTTTAAATCATTCAAGGTTTGAAATTCTTTATTTCCTTCTGAGGAAACTGATTAGTTCAGTGAAACGAGTTTTGCAGCCGGCATCTCGTTAAGTCTTTGTTTAATTCTAGGTTAATTTTTCCAAAAAAAATTTGATTTTTGTTATTCAATTCTATAGTCGATTACCTCTCATTTCGGGGATTTTCACGGCAATTCTTTTGTTTTGTGTAATTTATTGGTTCCCTGACTGTCTTTTTTTCACTGGTTAGAGCAAGCTTCCTCAACCTTGGCCCTCCAGATGTTTTTGGCCTACAACTCCCATGATCCCTAGCTAACAGGACCAGTGCTCAGGGATGCTGGGAATTGTAGTCTCAAAACATCTGGAGGGCCGCGGTTGAGGAAGCCTGGGTTAGAGCATCAGGCTAGGACCCAGGTTCAAATCCAATCGCTCGGGCCACTGAGGACGCCAGGTGACCTTCGACCAATCGCTGCCTTTCAGCCCAAACTCCCTCGCAGGGGTGTTGGGAGGATTCAATGGGGGGGGGAGCCATGTATGACACCTTGAGCTCTTTGAAGAAGAAGAAGAGTAAGAAGAGTTTGGATTTGATATCCCGCCTTTCACTCCCCTTCCGGAGTCTCAAAGCGGCTAACATTCTCCTTTCCCTTCCTCCCCCACAACAAACACTCTGAGGTGAGTGGGGCTGAGAGACTTCAAAGAAGTGCGACTGGCCCAAGGTCACCCAGCAGCTGCATGTGGAGGAGCGGAGACGCGAACCCGGTTTCCCAGATTACGAGACTACCGCTCTTAACCACTACACCACACTGGCTCTCTTTGGATTTTATTTTTTATTTTTGCAGGGTTAGGATCACGTAACCTGCTGTGAGTGGAGGGGGCCCTCCTCCCATCCTCTAGACCAGGGGTCAGCAAACTTTTTCAGCAGGGGGCCGGTCCACTGTCCCTCAGACCTTGTGGGGGGCCGGACTGTATTTTGAAGGGGGAAAATGAATGAATTCCTATGCCCCACGAATAACCCAGAGATGCATTTTAAATAAAAGCACACATTCTGCTCATGTAAAAACATGCTGATTCCCAGACCGTCCGTGGGCTGGATTTAGAAGGCGATTGGGCCGGAAACCCACCAAACCTGCCACATCTGGAACTGGGTGTGGAGAGGGCAGCTGAATGGGACGCAGCTGTGGGCAGCCTGATTAAGGACCATTCGCCTTGAGACGCCCATAAAAAGCAAGTCTAGAGTGAGAGACTAGGGCGAGGAACACTGTTTTCAGGAACTCTTCTGGTGTTGAGAATATTTGGGGTGAGCTGAGCGTTTGTTTGGACCCTGGTGAGAACCTTGAAGCTGAGAGGGAGGGCGTGTTAAAAAAGAAAATATTATATACAGTGGTACCTCGGGTTACAGACGCTTCAGGTTACAGACTCTGCTAACCCAGAAATAGTACCTTGAGTTAAGAACTTTGCTTCAGGATGAGAACAGAAATCGTGCTCCGGTGGCACGGCAGCAGCAGGAGGCCCCATTAGCTAAAGTGGTGCTTCAGGTTAAGAACAGTTTCAGGTTAAGAACGGACCTCCGGAACGAATTAAGTATGTAACCAGAGGTACCACTGTATATTAGTATCTTTGCATTAATGCAACGTTTTTATGCGCAACCATGTATTTTTGCAGTATTTCATTTTTAAGTCGTCTGTTGTCGCTTTCAGTTTTCTCAAATGTTTTATCCTATTAAGCCGCACAGAAATTGAATGATCAGTAGTTCATCAATCAATCAATCAATCAATCAATCACCGGATCTATGTTTAGGTCACATGCTGTTTTCTGGAACAAAACCTTCGGCAAAATCACCAAGAGGAGAGTCTGAGCGCTTTGTGACCGCGGAGGAAACAGGACATCTGAACTAGCTGGCAAAGGCATCCCATGATTTCACCCTGTGTTTGAAGGACTGTCACGCATACGGAGCAAATTTGCTTTCCATTGCTCTGTTGCGGAGGAGCAGGAAGACCAGAATGACAATGAAAATGGAAAGCCTTTGCCAGCCTTACCTGGAGACACCTGGGACCAAACCTGGGACCTTGTGCCCCTTGCCACTAGGCCACGGGGTCCTTCCTATCTGATCTCGGCGCCTCAAGCTCACCTGGGATGCCGGCATCACCATTCGGGGGGCTCTGGACCACGGGGCTGCAGGATAAGCTGGTCAAGACCATGGCTGCCATCATCTCGTCCATCTCCACAGCAGCAGCATCCGATTTCCTGCAAAGAGCGACAGAAGAACAGGGTGGAGGGGGGTTGAATATGAAGCCAACTTCCATGAATACAAAAACGGTGGCACACCAGCACGTCCCAGGAGAAAGGGCGCCAGGATTCGAACCCTTGCTATCACACTTTGAACAGCTTGCATTTGTTTCAAACAGCCAAGTTACAGGGAACCAGGCAGAGAGCCTTCTCGGTAGTGGCACCCGCCCTGTGGAACACCCTCCCACCAGATGTCAAAGAGAAGAACAACTACCAGACTTTTAGAAGACATCTGAAGACAGCCCTGTTTAGGGAAGCTTTTATATAATAATAATAATAATAATAATAATAATAATAATAATAATAATAATAATAATTTATTATTTATACCCTGCCCATCTGGCTGGGTCCCCCCAGCCACTCTGGGCAGCTTCCAACAAAACACTAAAATACAATAACCTATTAAACATTAAGAGCTTCCCTAAACAGGGCTGCCTTTAGATGTCTTCTGAAAGTTTGGTAGTTATTTTTCTCTTTGACAACTGGTGGGAGGACATTCCACAGGGCAGGTGCCACCACCGAGAAGGCCCTCTGCCTGGTTCCCTGTAACTTGGCTTCTCGCAGCGAGAGAACCGCCAGAAGGCCCTTGGCGCTGGACCTCAGTGTCCAGGATGGATGATGGAGGTGGAGACGCTCCTTCAGGTATACTGGACCAAGGCCGTTTAGGGCTTTAAAGGTCAGCACCAACACTTTGAATTGTGCTCGGAAACGTACTGGGAGCCAGTGTAGGTCTTTCAGGACCGGTGTTATATGGTCTCGGTGGCTGCCTCCAGTCACCAGTCTAGCTGCCGTATAGAATGTAGCTGCTAGCTTTTAATGTTTAACAGACCACTGTAATTTAATACTTTGTTGGAAGCCGCCCAGAGTGGCTGGGGAAACCCAGCCAGATGGGCGGGATATAAATAATAAATTATTATTATTATTTATTATGAGCTGCGATTCCTGCATTGCAGGGGTACCAGGGGTTTCCTTCATGGGTGGGAGAGATCACTGTGTCTCGCTGGTCAGCTACTGCCTGCCTTGAGCTGGACAGTCCCTTGTCTATAAAGTACTGACCCGCCTGTTCCCCGCTTGCTTCAATGGGTGCTTGGAGCTCAGAGTATCGCTCGACAAATGGGTTGCATTTCTGCACCAGGGGAAAAAAGGAATCTTCCAACAGTTTGACCCCCCAAAAAAGCGCATTCCTCCATTGTCTCCCGAGACAGACAGGTGCTAACCACCGAACCAATCAACAAGGGGGTTGGACTAGATGACCCTTGGGTCACTTCTAACCAGAATCGTTGAAGTGGAAGGTACCCCCCAATGAAATGCAAGAACCACAGCGGAAGAATCGCTCTACGCCTTGATCCCATGAAGGCATTTCAGGATGGTGTCATGAAACGACGGCAAGCATCGACTCAACGAGGCAGCAATGAATGGAGGGTTTCAAAAAGGACATTTAATTGGTTGGGTTTCAGCAGGCGTTTAAAAAGAAGGCAGCTTTGAAACCAGCACGGGGGTCAAGGAAAGTCCAGGCCTCTTTCCCCCCAAATCTGCACGGAAAGCTGAACTCAGCTCAGCGCTGAACTCGCCTCGCCCGCTTCTCCAGGAAGAGAGATCTATAAGAGGCGCTTTTAACAGAATGAATTATTTAAGCGGCGAGTCCAAACAGCCCCCGAGAGCAGATCTGGAGAACATCACGTACCTGGAGTCAGGAGAGAAAGCTTCCCCCCACCCCTTTTATTAAAAAAAATTAAGCATTAGTTGTATGCAGGAGTTAAGAAACCTTTCCTTAGGATTTCCAGCTTGGGCTGCCATGTAATGTCTTGGTCTGCTTTAACGCGGATGGGCTGCAACTCAGAAGTAGGCAAGGGGGGGTTACTAAGGAAGGTGCCACGTTCGGTCACCAGCATCTGCAATGAGAAAGGAGTGTCTGGAAGCAGGATGGGGCCCTCCCCAGACCCTGAAAACTGCTGTCCGATTTAGGAACATGGGAAGTTGCCTTGCAGAGTCAAAACATTGGGCTTCATTGGTTCAACAGAGACCCTACACTACCTCTTGATCATGTGAGCTGGGGGGGGTGTTCTTTAAGCTGCTCTGCTGAGGAGCACGGCCCCCCCCCCAAATATACCGTTGGGCGAAGTCGCCATCGCGCTCTGCCCCTCATAGCGGTCCTGGACGATGTATTGTTTACTATTGCTATGCAAATTCTGGGGGAGACCAGAACAGGTTGCAATTACAAGTAAAGGGAGACTGAACATTACAAAGAACTGTTTGACCTAATGAAAATAATAATAATAATAATAATAATAATAATAATAATAATAATAATAATTTATTTATACCCCGCCCATCTGGCTGAGTTTCCCCAGCCACTCTGGTCGGCTTCCAATCTAGTGTTAAAAACAATACAGCATCAAACACTAAAAGCTTCCCTAAACAGGGCTGCCTTCAGATGTCTTTTAAAGATAAGATAGCTGCTTATTTCCTTCACATCTGATGGGAGGGCGTTCCACAGGGCGGGCGCCACTACTCAGAAGGCCCTCTGTCTGGTTCCTTGTAACTTCATTCTCGCAATGAAGGAACCGCCAGAAGGCCCTCGGAGCTGGACCTCAGTGTCCGGGCAGAACGATGGGGGTGGAGACGCTCCTTCAGGTATACAGGACCGAGGCCGTTTGGGGCTTTCAAGGTCAGCACCAACACTTTGAATTGTGCTCGGAAACGTACTGGGAGCCAATGTAGGTTTTTCAAGACTGGTGTTATGTGGTCGCGGCGGCCGCTCCCAGGCACCAGTCTAGCTGCCGTATTCTGGATTAGTTGTAGTTTCCGGGTCACCATCAAAGGTAGCCCCACATAGAGCGCATTGCAGTAGTCCAAGCGGGAGATAACCAGAGCATGCACCACTCTGGCGAGACAGTCTGTGGGCAGGAAGGGTCTCATCCTGCGTACCAGATGGAGCTGGTAGACAGCTGCCCTGAGATTTGGTGGCTAAGAGGCTGGGCGACAAATTAGGAAACCCCAGGTTCAGACCTCTGCCATGAACTTTGCCTCAGGTGAGACAGTTCGCAGGCAGATAGGGTCTCATCCTGCATACCAGGTGGAGCTGGTAGACAGCTGCCCTGGACACAGAATTGGCCTGCACCTCCATGGACAGCTGTGAGTCCAGAATGACTCCCAGGCTGCGCACCTGGTCCTTCAGGGGCACAGTTACCCCATTCAGGACCAGGGAGTCCCCCACACCTGCCCCCCTCCTGTCCCCCAAGAAGAGTACTTCTGTCTTGTCAGGATTCAACCTCAATCTGTTAGCCGCCATCCATCCTCCAACCACATGCTTGATGATGGATGCTGTAACAGATTTTATGCATCACAAGGGGGTGTGTGGACTTAGGACACCTTTTAGGAACCTCCCAACCTGCACCCCAGTTTAACAAGGCACTGCAGTGCCGGCCCAACTCCTTCGAAAGGCAAGTGAGGAAGTGGGCAGCTGATCGCAGCTGTTTTAACAATGGTGGTCCACGTTTCTAAGGTGGTCTTATCACTGCAAGCTGCTCTGGAAACTGAGGGAATCTGGAAAAAAACATCTTGGCATAGCTGTCAACCGTCCCTTATTTGGCGGGAAACTCCCTTATCCCAGCGGCATGTCCCGCTGCTGCCCCTTATTGATGATTTCCCTTAAATTTCCCGGGTTTCAAAGGAAGCAGCTCCTCTCCCTCCCTCCCTGCCGGCCAGGGAGGAGGGAGGCTCCAACTGTGTTGCTTGGCTGCCCGGCCTGCCCCCCTCCGGCCTCCTCTCACCAGCCTCGGCCCCCGGGAGCCCCTCCCTGCCGGGACTGGTGGGAGCCTTGGGCCCTTTCCGCCACCATCCTCCTCCTGAGCGTCTCTGCCTAGGGGCCTCCCCTCTTCCCTACGCTGCCGCTCTCGCTAGGATGTACTGTGGCTGCGCCGCCGAAGGACCTGGATAAGATGGGCAGCCTGGCGCAGCCTATGAATTGCTGAGTAGCCTTGAGAGGAGAGCGAGGGCAACCATAGAGAAAGCAGTTCAGAGAGAGGAGGAGGAGGCGGAGGCGGGCAGGTGTTCCAAGGGCTACAAGGGAAGGACCGCAATCGCTTCTCCCAATAGATTTGTAGTGGGAGACTAGCATAGATGGTCTGATCTGCGGGTTTACTTCGGGCGCTATTCCCCCCCCCTTCCCCCTCAGACCGCCTGATGGAACTGAAAACTGCAGATGGAGCACGAGTGAAAAGATACAGAACTGCAGCAGCATCTTTGTAGCTTGGACTTCGTTTTGCGCGAAAAGTGGTTGCTGCTTGTAGTTCTTTAATTGCAGTGTTTCATCAGCTGGTGTCTTGTGCAGCAACCTCTGGAAACGAAGGGCTAAAAACCGGTGCTGCTCTCCCAAATTATCTGGTCCCTTTTAACTTCGTATTTCAGCTGGTTGACTAAAATCCCTTATTTTGGCTGCTGGTCCCTTATTTTTGAGGCTGCTGGGCCCTTATTTTCAAATCTGTAAGTTGACAGCTATGCATCTGGGGGCTGCCATTTTGGTGACGGCCGCGCTAAAAGAACCCTCGATCCATGTCGTAAGGAAATAAGTATTACGCAGCCACGAGCAAAACATCCGGGACTCACCTTTTTGGCACGTCGATGCTCCGGGAGACCGACCTGGGTCCCGATGCTGCCGCAGCGGCCGCCTCCGTGGTCGGTCCGTGGTCCATGGCCACTGGGACGGCGTCGTAGCCCGTCGTGGCCGGAGCTCCGAGGTCCATCTCCAGGGCTGGGAGAGGCAAGGCCTGGATGTTAGCCAGCCTCACTTCCTCGGCTTTCCGGCAGACGTAGAAGCCCTGTTCCAGAAGAAGCACCTTCACCTCGTTGCTGAGGAGGTCGTGGTGTTCCACCAAGCCGGGGGCCTCTTGCCCTTTGTAGAAGACGTAGACCTATAAAGGGAGGAGGAAAGAGGATGAGTTTGGATTTGATATCCCGCTTTATCACTACCCGAAGGAGTCTCAAAGCGGCTCACATTCTCCTTTCCCTTCCTCCCCCACAACAAACACTCTGTGAGGTGAGTGGGGCTGAGAGACTTCAGAGAAGTGTGACTGGCCCAAGGTCACCCAGCAGCTGCAGGTGGAGGAGCAGGGAAGCGAACCCGGTTCACCAGATTACGAGACTACCGCTCTTAACCACTACACCACACTGGCTCCCTATTGTCACAGCGCTCTATCGTCACGACGGCCGTTTCAGGCTCAAACCCCCAAGGCCAATGTGTATTATTATGCCTTGGGTTTTCTTTTCTTTTCTTTTTAAATAAATTTTTATTAGCAACTTAAACAAAACATATTATCTTAAAACTATCATCCTTAATTCCCCCCACCCCATTTTTCCCCCTCGCGTAAAACAAAACACCCTCCCCACCCCACCCTAACTTCCCTCAGTTCCAATCTCTGGTTTCTCTGTAAATGCTATTCTCTGCATGTTACAGATTTGTATAGATCCTTAATTTGTCTAACTGGTTGTTATCAATACAGTGGTACCTCGGTACAGTGGTTAATTCGTTCCGGAGGTCCGTTCTTAACCTGAAACTGTTCTTAACCTGAAGCACCACTTTAGCTAATGGGGCCTCCCGCTGCCGCCGCGCCGCCAGAGCACGATTTCTGTTCTTATCCTGAAGCAAAGTTCTTAACCCGAGGTACTATTTCTGGGTTAGCGGAGTCTGTAACCTGAAGTGTATGTAACCCGAGGTACCACTGTAAAAAGTTTGTGAGTGTTTAATCAAAACCAGCCAAGGAGTCCAATTCACTTTGTTGCGTCTTTAAGTATTTTGTAAAAGGTTCCCATTCATCTTTAAAGTCACAGTTATCCTTGTCCCGTAGTTTATGTGTCAATTTTGCCAGTTCTACATAGTCCATCAGTTTCCCTTGCCATACTTCTTCATGCCTTGGGTTTTCAAGTTGCAAACCACCCTGAGATTTAAGTTTGAAGGGCAGCGTGCAAATCTGAGAAATAAAATATACTAAACCCCTGAAAATAGGCCCCATTGTGTCATAGAATCATAGCTTTGCAAAGGACCAGAAGAATCATTTGCAGTGCAGGAATCTTTAGCCCAACATGGAGTTTCGAACCCACGACCTTGAGATCAAGAGCCTCGTGGTCTCTACCAACTGAGCTACCCTCTCAGTGTCCTGTAGACAATTGCACCTTCAGCCTAGCAGGAGTGAAGAGGGTGTTTGACTAGCAAAGGCTGTGTTCATGTTATTATTACCACGATTTGTTGGATTCATTGACTTCCAAAGCACAGTCTCAATGCAATTCACACCTAAGATGACTGAAACCACAAATGCATTTAAAACGAGACTGAAATCCTAACAAGCAGGTCCAGTATACCTGAAGGAGCGTCTCCACCCCCATTAATCTGCCCGGACGCTGAGGTCCAGCGGCGAGAGCCTTCTGGCGGTTCCCTCCCTGTGAGAAGCCAAGTTACAGGGAACCAGGCAGAGGGCCTTCTCGGTGGTGGCGCCCGCCCTGTGGAACGCCCTCCCACCAGATGTCAAAGCGATAAACAACTACCAGATTTTTAGAAGACATCTGAAGGCAGCCCTGTTTAGGGAAGCTTTTAATGTTTAACAGACCACTGTATTTTAATACTCTGTTGGAAGCCACCCAGAGTGGCTGGGGAAACCCAGCCAGATGGGCGGGGTATAAATAATAACTTCTATTCTATTCTAAGCAGACACTTGTGTTTGAGATTCCTGCATCTCAGGGGGCTGGACTAGATGTCCTTTGGGGTCCCTTCCGACTCTACAGTTCTACGATTCTATGACCCATTTATCCAGCTGGGACAAGCTCATCTGGGAGACCTGATATCCGCGGCCTAGATGGGTTTCCCCTCTCCACGGTGACCTAATTGGACACAGAGCCACTGCCTTAATTCCCAAAGTCTATTTTTACGTATGTAATTGTATCTGGGACCCACTTGTGATAGTTATTCCTGGGAGCTATTAATAGAGAACTCCAGTTACCCTATGGAAGGTGCTGTAATGTACAAGCCAGCATGGAATGGGCAGCAGAAAATGAGAGATAAAACAGCACTCTGTTGGGAGGATAGATTAGCTGGGGACCAGACTCAGTGGCTCAGAGTAGCATCTGCATGTAAAATCCTAAGAGCCTGCTGGATCAGGCCAAGAGCCCATCTAGTCCAGGATCCTGTTCGCAAAGTGGTCAACCACAGGTAAAAAAGTAAACAAGGTAAAGGATCCCTGGACAGTTATGTCTTATGTTACAGCAAAGATTATGGGATAATGCACACAGTGACTTGCGATCTTGATCACACGCAGTCTGTAGTCCGCTGGCAGTAGGAATACAATATGGGTATGTCTTTAAGTTAACATCTTACATTAAAAACCTGACAGTACCAAACTATCGAAGGCTTTTCACCAAAGCCAGACTAAACGTCTTTCCTTCTGCAGTGTTGGATGGCAGGTTGAGATGAATTCCCTACCAGGGCAGACTCTGTTCGTGTGCTCAAGACATAGATTCCATAAAACATATTTTGTTGCATTGTGCAAAATATGAGCAAGCCAGGGCTGAACTGATACTACCTTTCCCAGGAAAATCAGAGGCTCACTATGTCAGGTTCCTATTGGAAGACCGGACAAATGCTAGAACATTAGCAGTGGCAAAGTTTTTATTGGTGGTTGCAAGAACAAATAATCCCTATATTCTGAACAAAATGCTTGTTTAACCTGGAGGTAGGCTGTATGAATTGTGTATTGCTTTGTAATGATTTGTTGGGTCTCTGGACCGTAATAAAGATTGATGATGATGATGATGATGATGTCTTATCAAAGGCAACTATGGATCGTTTATGCATAACTAGTGGGAATGACCTTATGTATAAAAAATATATAAAAAATTCATTTATACAGTGCTTTCTTTTTGGGGGGGACACAGGGGAGCACATACCCCTATACATTTTGTGAATCGAAGTTTGGCCTCGTTGAGGGGCAGTATTTCAATATGAGTAGGAAAATGAAAGTACCCCCAAACATTTCTTTAAGGGAAAAAAGCACTGCATTTATATAACGCTTTACATTTTAAAGGGGAAAAAATCAAAGCTGTATACAACACCTAAAAACATCAAATCGCTCACTCTTGAATATAGCTGTAATAGAGGGAAATCATGCATAATTTGAGATATTGACAAGGACTAGAACCCCTTTTCCATGCTACGACACCCAGCAGAACAAATTGGCTCCGGTTACCTTTTGGCCTGGTTGCAGGAGTGGCCAGTTCTGGCCTTGACCGCCAGAGTCTGCGACAGGTTCCTTGAAGCGTCCGTCCTCACACGAAGCCAGACGAGGAGACTCTTTGACGTGCTCCGTCTGCAAGGGAGGGAGCTGGGCCATCATCAGCACCCCGTCCCCCAGCAAGGGGGGAGCAGAAATTCGGGCCCCCAGCAGGGACCTCTTCCCCAGCCTCCTGGAGAGAACACTCGCCATTTCGGACCCGCTGCAGAGAGAAAAAGGGGCAGCAGAGGTTAGGTCACGGGAGATTGCATTTCCGTATTTGTTTTCTCCATAAAATTTATCCACAAACAAACAAACAAACCTCAAAGAGGCTTACAAAGAGAATAACGCTGTAAAACTACAGTCATACCTCGGGTTACAGCCGCTTCAGGTTGTGTTTATTCAGATTGCGGACCGCCAAAACCTGGAAGTGCCAGAACGGGTTACCTCCGGGTTTCGGCGGTTGTGCATGTGCTGAATCGCAACCTGAGCGTGCGCAAGCGCGGGTTGCGAACGCAGCAGGTTGTGAACTTGCATCCCACACGGATCACGTTCGCAACCCGAGCGTCCACCGTATCAGTAAAAACGACGTTTCAAAACATTCAAAAATATAATATCAGCAACGGACTGAAAGAAGATTAAAACACACATCCACATTCTTCACGTGGGCTTCTCTGAACATAGTTCTCAGCAGGCATCGAGACTATAGTAAAGGCACTTCCCTGGTGTCAAGTGGCAGGGAGTTCCAGAGTACTGATTCTGCCACCCGAAACAGATTCAAGTTACAAAAAGGGAGATTTCGTCTAAACAGTGGAACAGCTTTCCTTGTAAGGTGGTGGGCTCCCCTTCCTTGGGGGTTTTAAGCAGAGCTTGGCTGGCCACCTGTCATGGATGCTTTAGCTGAGATTCCTGCATTGCAGGGGGTTGGAATGGATGACCTCCAGGGGTCCCTTCCGACTCCACCGTTCTATGATTCTACGAAACGTGGAACCTGTAACCGTGCCGGTTCTGCCAATCACAGATTTGTAGTGTTGGGAGGGACCCCTGAGAGGGTCATCTAGTCCAACCCCTTGCAATGCACAAAGCGGCCGCATGGGCTTTGATGGAGTAAGGCAATGCACAACTACAAAGGTTCTGGCTTGACCTCCAGAAACACGCCCCCCCCCCAGGGCCACAATTCTCAAAAGCACAAGCCAGGCCTTCAAGCAGAGTTAGAACAGCCCTCCTTCGCACTCCTGGGTGGAAAATATTGGTAGTGCCAGAGCAGCTCCTCTGTATGCAGAGAGAGCTCCCAATTCAATCGCCAGCAACTCCCAGTAGAACTGGGAAAGATCCTGACTGGATCCCTGGAGAGCCACTGGACCAATTGTGCCAGATGGATCAATGGCTCTGACCCAGCGAAAGGCAGCTAACTAGGAATCTCTGATGAAATACGGGTGGGAAACTGCGTGTTTCTGAACCGCGCTGTGTGCAAACATGAAACGTCAGGAAATATCGCCTGCACAAACCACACCGAAACGAAGGCAGGAGTACAAATGTGGTTTGTTTTGTGTTCCTGTTTTTATTACATATGTCACATTTTCCACCTTGCATTGTGGACTGCCCTGAAATCTATGGAAGAAGGGTGGCCTGCAAATTCAAATAATAATAATAATAATAATAATAATAATAATAATAATAATAATAATAATAAATTTTATTTATACCCCACCTTCCCTGGCCAGAGCCGGGCTAAGGGCAGCTAATACCAGTAAAATTACAATAAAAACATAATAGGGGGGGGCGCCAATTTAAAATGCAGGTTAAAACACAATTTAAAATGCAGCCTCATTTTAAAAGTGGCCCATAAATCAAAACCGTTAGGGGAGGGAAACATAAGGGTCAGACTGAGTCCAAATCAAAGGCCAGGTGGAACAGCTCTGTCTTGCAGGCCCTGAGGAAAGATGTCAAGTCCCGCAGGGACAGAGCGTTCCACCAAATCGGGGCCAGCACTGAAAAGGCCCTGGCCCTAGTTGAGACCAATCTAACCACCTTGCGACCTGGGACCTCCAAAATGTTGTCATTTGTGGACCTTAAGGTCTTCCGCGGGACATACCAGGAGAGGCGGTCCCGTAGGTACGTGGGTCCTAGGCTGCATAGGGCTTTAAAGGTCAAAACCAGCACCTTAAACCTGATCCTGTACTCCACCGGGAGCCAGTTGCAGTTGGTAAAGCACTGGATGAAGGTGATCCCACGGCAAGGGCCCCATAAGGAGCCTTGCCCCGGCATTCTGCACCCGCTGGAGTTTCTGGGTCTAGTAAATAACAACTTCCCAACAGACTGAGCTCTACAGGTCCGACTGGGCCACCTTGCATGAGGCCATCTTTTGTGGGAACTCCAAAAACACCACATACGGGTGGCCGTGGCGCAATGGGTCCATGCATCTGGCTACTAACCAGAAGGTTGGTGGTTCAAGCCCACCCAGGGATGGCTGTGTAATTAAATAGATGGGATTTAGAATGTAAAGAAAAGTGAATAAGATGGACTATAATTGGAAATTGTCTTAGTTTAATAATGATATTGGAAAGCTGTTACTTTTAATTACAAGGAAACTCAGAAGGGAGGGATTTGAGAAAGTCAACCAAGATGTTTAAAAGGTTGGATTTGTGAAGAATCAAGTTTGTTGGTATTGTTTATCTGTTTATTGTCGTCGTCGTCCCCCCGCCTTTTTTCTTTCTTTCTTCTTTTTTCTTTTTCTCTTTTTGTTTATCATTTTGCTTTGTGGTTTGTGTTATCACTGTGGAAAATCTAATAAAAAAATTAATAAAGGAATGGTTGTGGGCATGACCCCTGCTCTGAAGGGGTGGAACTGCACACCCCTCAAGGTTCCTCCCAGATCTACAATTCTGTGTTTCTATGAAACGTTTCATTGCCTCTGGAATTCGATTCGTCGAAGCACCGCAGGGGGTTGGACTAGATGCCCCCGTGGGGTCCCTTCCAACTCGACAATTCCACGGTTCTGTTCTACGAAAAGCTCTGCAGCAAGCCGTCAGCTGCGTGCTGGCTGCCGTGCACGATGTCTAAAAAAATAGAGCAGGGAGGCTGAGCCAGCCCAAAGAGAGGCACCAGGGAGACCTGCCCCCCAGTTCCAAACGCAGGGGCCTCTCAAACAACAATCGCCTTCCCAGTAGAAGCTGCTTTCAATGCGGTTTGACCAAGGCTGGGGTGTCTCGGGAGCGGTGGCAGAGAGGCAGGAGAGAAAGAGAGCTTCCTTGTGCAGCCAAGTATAGTAGAGATATTCATTTATTTTGCATTTGACCAGGGGAGTTTTTAAAACAAGCAAAACAAGCCGGGAGGACGGGCAGACAAGCAACGCCGGTGCCCACGCGTCCGTCTCCCCCTCGCCCCCCAGGGACAGCGCTGGCAGGAAGCGGCAGCCGAGAAGCGGAGGGATGGCTTTTCCAACAACCGGATGAGCCTCGGCTGTGTAAACAGAAGTTTGAGCTTCCAAAATTCGGCAACCATTCCGCCTGTATTGAAAGAAGGCTGCAGCCCACCGCTGGGCAAGCAGGGTTCGCAGAAGAAGCCCAAGCTCACCTCTGGAATCTGCAGCGGAGAACATGTCTTCTGGGCATGTGCAGAATGCCAGGCTCGGGGTTGGCACCAAGGACAGGCACCATACAGGGGACCACAAAACCTCCATTCTCTCTTCTTCTTCTTTTAAGTAATTTTTATTGAGTTTTCCACTACATCTTATTCACATTTTATTACATAATTCTGTGACTTAATATATTACTCTGTAAGAGCATCGACCGCCTTCCCTCCCTCTTTCTGACTCCCACATAACTTTCCATATTCTTTGCATTTCTATAAGCACTTATTTAAAGGTAAAGGTAAAGGGACCCCTGACCATTAGGTCTAGTCATGACCGACTCTGGGGCTGCGGCGCTCATCTCGCTTTATTGGCCGGCGTACAGCTTCTGGGTCATGTGGCCAGCATGACGAAGCCGCTTCTGGCGAACCAGAGCAGCACACGGAAATGCCATTTACCTTCCCGCCAGAGCGGTACCTATTTATCTACATGCACTTGACGTGCTTTTGAACTGCTAGGTGGGCAGGAGCTGGGACCAAACAACGGGAGCTCACCCCGTCGCGGGGATTCGAACCACCGACCTTCCAATCGCCATACATGCACCCCTCTGCAAACACTCAAGGGGGGTCCTGCCATTGCATCGCCAGCAAAGGAAGATGATCGCGTGGGATGAAGAGGCTGCAATTCCCCCGTCAAAGATGGCCGGCCTGGGTCACAAGGAAAACTCTGGTGCCAAAGGTTTGCACCTCGAGGCAACCTCCAGAATGCTCCGGGAGAAAGCGAAACTCCCAACAGCGCTTCTTTGACAACATTTCCACGAAATGGAAGTTTGGAATTGGAGTTAGGCGGAGTTGACAGACATGTCTCAATCCAGAGGCTTCACCCCCTCGCTATAGGCTCATCCAAATGACCCGTTTACTGAACGGTCATTCTGATTCGCTTGCACAAAGCTTCCACGGATGTTAGACAGTGTCCAATCTCTACTGAGCATATGTTCCGATTTATTCACGGGGCAGGTCTACAAGAAGAAGCATTCATCCTGACATGCCATGCATCTTCCCATTAACCATTTGTTCATCCCACACTTTTAAGCACATTTCCTCATTGCTCCCCAAACCCCATTTAAAATGGGTGTGTTGCGCTAGGACAACAGAGCACTTTAATCCACTTTTAACTGTGCAAACTTAAGATTCCAGCATGTGCCTGGATCTCTCCCAGATTATACTGCCCATCTGAAGGTGACCATAAAGGTAAAGGGACCCCTGACCATTAGGTCCAGTCGTGGCCGACTCTGGGGTTGCGGCGCTCATCTCGCTTTACTGGCCGAGGGAGCCGGCATACAGCTTCCTGGTCATGTGGCCAGCAGGACTAAGCCGCTTCTGGAGAACCAGAGCAGTGCACGGAAACGCTGTTGACCTTCCCACCGGAGCGGTACCTATTTATCTACTTGCATTTTGACATGCTTTCGAACTGCTAGGTTGGCAGGAGCAGGGACCGAGCAATGGGACTCACCCCGTCGTGGCGATTCGAACTGCCGACCTTCTGATTGGCAAGTCCTAGGCTCTGTGGTTTAACCCATAGCGCCACCCGCGTCCCTGAAGGTGACCATGGCTAGATAGGAATGCAAATACAACTTATCTCCATAGCCTTTT